CTGAGCAGGCTGGTGTTGGGAGTCTACAGAGCAGACCTGCTCAATCTTCTCATTCTCTTCTCTCCTGCAGACTGATGTCAGCATTTGTTTGTTTGTCTTTTGTGTTGGAGCTTGATACTCATTCATCCACACACACACACACACACTCATCACTGCATACACACTGACCTCCTCACAAGCATAACACCATGTAATTTAATAATTTAATTAAACTATATTGAATAATGTGGCCGACTATGTGTGGTCTGCCTCTTTTGTCACATGCTGTTGAGCCAGGTTGTGGCAAAATGAAATGTGCATCGTCTCGTGTCCTCTCCCCTCTATATTACTTTCAGACTCACACAGCCACTCACAAACAAAAATGCCCTTCACTTGGGTACCCTGGTTATTAAATGCAAGATGAATGTCAAGAGACTAACACTAGCCAGTCATTGAAGGGCCTTGGCATTTCACAGTTACCTCGAAGGGAGTCTGACAGGACGAGGACATGTCATCCTGAAGCTCGCGAAAGTAAAATGACTGCTCTCTCACCCCTCATTTCACTGTTAAGATAAAGTGATATATTAGCAAATCTCTGACACCGGACTTCCCTGCACTTGTAGTAACTTTTTGTATTACCCTTCAGCTTGAAAGTTAATACAAGTAAAGTAAGTAAAGTGGTAAAGTTTTGTTTGAATGCATTTCTCCTCTTACGTCTTTCTATTTCTCATCTTCACACAGCTGCTATTTTCCCCCGATGGTATGTTTCCACATTCATCCACAACTGAAAAGATAATAAATGTTGAAACAACAACAAATTTGATCACTCATTAGCTACCCTCGAGCATTTCAGCCACTCACGAGACTAGATAAAAGTTAGGAAGAGACTGAAAGTTGATACAGTACAATTGAGAAGACTTTCCTAAAGTCACGCTGGACAGTGGAAGTGTTTAAATTCAAACATTTTTGTGGAACAATGGTGGAAATTAAACCTTTTATTGCCTTAACATGTGGCCCAATGTCCCAAGATTTTCACTTTCTAATGTCTTCTCAGTTTCTCATTGTTGGAGGAGCATTGAAAATAGATTCTCAGATACAGCATTACAACATGTGTGAGATGGCGAATGGAAATATCTCTATAATATATTTTTCTCTGTTTTGGTTCTAACACCATCTTCTTCACCTTCCTCATCTCTCACTTCCTTCAACCCTCTCCTGATACATTCTTGCCCCTGGCTTCCTAACTCTGTCTCCTTCCCCACTCCTTTGTAGTGTTGTTCTCTCTCTCTCTCTCTCCACACCCACACAGACACACACTCACATAGACTTCTTTTGTGCCACTCCTGTTATACATTCCCTTACTCCGCGCTGTATCACTGTCTGAATCTCTCTTTCTCTCAATGCCGTCACTTACCCTCAGGCAAAGTCATCCCAAGTTGTTATTACCCCCTCCCTCCCTCAGCTGGTCACATCATCTCGCTACCTCAGAGTCATTTTCCAAATTTGGCATCTAATTGGGTTTCTCCTGCGATTAAGTCAATAACAACCTTCATATTAGAGTTTAATGTCCCCTAATGAGTCAATTTGTTGGCCAGCGGCTAATTGGCTCTGATCTGTTTATAGACAGCCTAAACTAATTGATGGACATTACTGAAACACTATTTTTCATTGAGTGATGTTGAGTCCTTGTCTGCTTTTAGCTTTGAGCTTGTATTGCAGAGCCCCCCAACAACAGATTATACCGTTCTGGTTCATGGATCAGGCTGTATAATTTGTGAAACAGCTAAGCATTAACGTTAATGATAACTCCAGGGGAGCTAAATCAAATCCATTAAACATTGACTGACAAATCTTCTTCCACCCCAACAAACATTTAGTTTTATTAGTGTTGATTGTATTCAGGGGCTGGTGTAGAGGAGACTTGTGTCTGCTTTTGTTAGCTTTGGCAATCATTAAAATATTCATGTCTGCCAAGTGTAGACTCTTCAAGAGTGGTTACGCAGTGCACACACACAACCGTCTAGCATGAGGCCTCAAACATATCACAACAGACTGACTGCTATAAATAAGGCCCTACAGGCAACAATAGGGGAACACGAGGACAACACGCCCCAGTGTAAGCTATCAAGCTTGAATCTTTGACAAAGTTTTAACAGATCCTACTGACATGCCAAGGCCCTCCCCAGGAGTTTGTGTCTGCACAGGGCTTTGGCTTGATAAGGCAGTGTGTGTATGAATACAAAGTGAGCTGCAGGTGACTGATATTGGGACTCATCCCAATCACATGCCTTCAGGTTAGCATGCTATCAAAAGGAAGGGTTTGTTTGAAGCAAGGTTGTCTGTCTGCACACAGCTGCAGCTCTATGATAAAGAGGAAAGAAGTTTGATAGGTGAAGCTTCCTGTCCTTCCATCCCTCTCACAGTCTCTCTGTAATTCAATTTCAACTCAAATTGGCATGAAAACACCAAAGCACCAGGATGTTTTCCTGCTTATACTCTCTGCCTTGTAGTTCTGTTGGTGTCTGCATTCTGTGCATCACTGCAAGGACAGTGATCTATCTGGGTTGTTAAATATTTAATTTCTCTCTTTTTGAAAGTTACCAGAGCTGAACTTATAGGAACACCTTACACTTGAAAAGGAGTGACTATACATTTCTTACAGTGCAAACAAGAAAGTTTCTTTCAAGTGTTTGCCACCCTTAATACTACATCAAATCAAGAAGTGTTGCTTCAAAAAGTGTTTTCCCTGTGCTAACAAAACCTGTACATTTTCAAGATATGTCATACCTGTTATTGTTTGCAGCATTTGAGCAAAACATTTTCTTTTTCAAACCAGAGGTAGTAGTAGGCCTAATTGTAATTTCAAAACTACAGAAATGGACTTGTCACAGGAAAACGGCATAAACAATGTTGAATAGAGACCATATGGTTAGACCATTTGGATTTATTTTGCAGGCAGTTCTCAACTATCATGTTTTTGAAACTTTGCATTCCCAGCTCACAGTTTTACAGACTTATGGGCTACTAAAGAAGGCTGTCCTTACATTATTCTCTTTAAGGTTTAAAAAAACATGTTTCTCAATAGATTTAATGGTTCACCCATTTACAAAACAAACAGCTAACTCTTGAACAGTTACGTGAAAATAACTTCTTGGGAAGCTGAACTGAGTGAATTCCAGCCACCGGTGACTCCCCTCTGGACCTCTGCTGGTGTTGATGTATGGATTTATTTCACCTCAATACTTCAACCCTGAACATCGTCATGTCATCCACATGCTCAGACCAAGATGTCTCTGGCTGAAACTACTAACCAGAGCCAAAGAAATGTGCCGTTTCTCAATATCAATGTAAGCTGCTGCCTGTAGGCCTAAGTATAGAACTGATGTCAAAGTGAAATCAGAAAGTTCCAAATCAGTGGTGGCTATGATGGTTAGTTACAAATATATGCCTCAATGGTGGCTAAACCTGACTCACATTAGATGAACTATTGTGATCTAACTAACATGAATCAGACCAAAAGGGAAGTCTGTCTGGATCATGGATGTTTTTTTAAAGATCTGGCAGGGTTGGTGTTATCTGGCTTTGCATCCAATTTGGCTCAGTGGCCACTGTTAGTATTGCAGCGACAAACACATGCAGTCAAAAAAACATTATCCCCATAACACCATTACATGCAAGCCAGTATAAAAGGCAACTTTGAAATAAATTAACAGGACTCCTAAAACTGCAGACAGCAGATTGACTCTTTCTCTTTTGAAAATTTTGATCCACGGAACTTTTATATTTTCAATTGTTACTTTATAGGGTTTTCTCCTCTCTTGCAGTCCATGGACCAGCAGGAGATAGGCCTTACACGGCTTGAGCATTTCCAGTGTACCTTGACAACACCTTATTAACGCACAGGGAGAAAACAAACTTCAGCTAATTAGCAAGAAAAACTGTCCAAATATTCCAAGAGTGATTTGGCACAGTTTTAGAGCAGATGTAGATTTTCTTTGCGGGGTTGTTTGTGATTTCTCACTCTGCAAATTAATTAAGTGCAAGAAACTTGGCAGGACCATAGCAAGGTTTTTTTTTTAACACATTGCTCAGCCTTTTTACTGAGACACTGAACAGGCAAGACCATTCTCATTGAGAAAAGCTGACATTATCTGATGTTTGCTCATTCATATATGTTCTATTTAGGTATCAGTGTAACATGCTGCCAATCTAAAAGCCAGTTTTTTGGCTTTTAAAAGCACTAGGTGAGACTTAAAGTTATGGGACAGAATGAGAGCCATCTTTAGAATGAAGTTCACCATGGGATGAATGAAGATGACCACATGCATCAACCCTATTAGCTTGCAGATTTGACCTGTTCATATGTTGACATGATATGCAACCATGTAGGCTATCTTCAATTGTATAGGCTATATGTAGCATATACTGTACGCATAGGCCTAATATTTAGGCTATCAGAAAATAATTTGTGGCAAATTCAATAATAGGCTACCGACTGTCCAGCGACCTCCTGTAGATTCTCTTTATTTTGTAACAGGCTATAAAGTAATGAACTGGCCGATTGTCATAAAACTCAATACTAATAATTGGATTTAGTATGATACTAATCTCATTTTATAAATTAAGTAGGCCCAGGCTAAAGGCTGATCTGTTACATATTAAAGGTTATCTTTCTCTTTTTCCATTAGAGGGTTCAGTTTTTGAAACAATTAGCCTAATGCAACGTTTGATTAGGTTTCCTTTTGGTTCTGAGGAAAGTACTTTTTAATATTGATATATTGGCTAGGGAATGTAGGCTATTCTCTCATGTCCTTATCTCACTGGAACTAGACATAGTCTATCAGCATGCTTTGACCCTTAGAGGCTCTGTCCGAGCTGCCTTTGCAGGCAGAATAACACGGTGAATCTCAGCACCATCAGACAATCTACTGTTATTGTGAATAACGGTGCTATTTTACAGCTCGGCGAGACCATTAGTGGTCCCTAGTCCGCAGTTTGGAAACCGCTGTCCCGGACTGTCCGACCTCTGCTCTCCGGCTCTCTTCCTCCGACTCCGCCTCTCTCAGAACCAACACACGAGCGACCGACTCCCCCCAGCCTGCCTGCCGCCACCCCGAAGCCCCTCCAGCTCCAGCCTGCTTACTTCCCCACTTCCCCAACCGGACTCTAGCACTACTTCTGTCCCGACGCGAACCCACCTCTTTCTCACCCCAAATGTTCTCCTAGTTTTGCCGGAAGACCAAAAAAAACAAAAAAAAAACTTGAAAAGTAGACACCAGAAGGGAGTAGCAGTGTCGGAGAAGTTTTTCTTCTCTGTCCCAGTTTTTGGCCCCGCGGCGGGGCAGGACAGCAAGGGGAGGCCGGGGGGGGGGGAAACAAGAGACCGTATGATGTGGATCTGGTACCTTCTGCTTGGTTCGGGGTCAGGCTCAAGAACTGTCGGTAAGTTTTTCAAAGCACACGCAAAGTAATGTTGTTGTCACGGCGCCGACACGCTTCAGTTTACGGGTGGGATAGAGGGGAGGAGGAGGGGGGGGAATTTAAAAATCTTTTGAAGTGTTCGCTGTGTGGTTCAGAAAAAGACGACTGAACGCGAAGTGTTTTTCCTTCGACGAAAACGTTATGGAGAAACTTTCATGAGAGGAAGTTATCCGACTGTTTCCTCTCCATCGACTGAACTCTTTTTTTCCCCCTCCTGGAGTTGTTGTAGCAGCAGGGCAGTCGTTTCTGAGATTTTCGTGCATGACGAATGAGCATGGTGTATGTCCCCTTCACTCAGGAGTGAGAATATCTTTGCTACAGACACCCCCACATGCCATTTCCATCTACCGTGTGTGTTTTACAGAGATTGGGTTATGGTCTCCTCCAGGTTAAGTTATATGAGTGGGAGGTTGTTGACAGGGCAGTGTTGACAAGTCAATCTGTTCTCCAGTCCCTCCATGGCAGCTGGGGCACCAGTGGAGGACACAGCACTTCATAGCAGTCAGTTGAACTCTTTTTAAACATGCAGCTGTAGTTTTTTTAACTTGTTTTTCTATCAGCTGCAATCCATCATTGGGCTATTGCAACGTGCCATCTTAAGGGAACGCATTACTACCAAACAGACATATGATCAGTGATTCAGACGATTCAGATGCTTATTGTGACAAGGTAAGGAGCTATTTATAAAGTTGAGAAAAGGCATAGGTCCTATAGGCTACATCTTTTCCTCTTAGTGTATCAAAAGGTCGAGAAAGCTGCAGTCTTTTAAATCAAGGCATGAGTTCTAATTCTTCCAGAGGAAACTGACATGTGCAATGTACAAATGCATCTACAAAAAAGCATAGTTAGCCTTCTTGATCAAACTTTTGTCTCATCTAGAGTATCTGCTATATCATTGAGCTTGTCCTGATGTGTTTGCAGTTGCACTGAAAGGATGTAGCAAATAAGCCCCAAGAAGCTCCTGGTGCAGTAGGGTCAGGTTTATTAAGGATATATTTGTGCATGTTGCATACGCAAAGCACAGGTGTAAACAATAAAATAAAAGATGACCTGGTGTTGTGGATTGTCATGGCTGACTGGGAACACTTGGACGTGTTATTAGAAAGTAACATCTGTGCTTTTGCTGCTGTGTCAAGGAATAAGACTGAACCACACCATGCAAACAAACGAAACCTGTGATATCTGTATCCGCTTTTAACTTCAGCACCTGTTATCAAACACAAGTATGCAAAACAAGTTCTTTTGTATGTTCTTCAACACAGACACAGTCAAGCATGTTTCGATATAAGGTATTTTTGTCAATGACAGAGTGAAGTAATAATGTCATGATATTAGATGTGGACTTGTAGTGTGAGCTGCCAAGTGGAGCAAAGGAGCAAGTATACATGATTGATGTCAGATATTTCCCCCCAGAATATCACTGTAGTTTGTTTTCTTCTGTTGTCAGCTTTGAATAAACAAATTTGCTTCAGCTCTTTTTTAGTGGCTTACAGCCTGACCAGGATAATAATGATGTCAGCTATGGCTGCACGTTTGTGTGTGTGTGTGTGTGTGTGTGTGTGTGTGCGTGTGCGTGTGTGTGTGCGTGTGTGCGTGTGCGTGTGCGTGTGCGTGTGCGTGTGTCCTCTGACAGGATATTGCTGTTGGTAAATTCTAGCTGACAAATTAGCCAGTGATATTAGGTGTAAATTGGGCGTCCTGTCACAGCATTTAGAATTCAATCTAAAATGTTGCCGGTATATACTTCTGGGTGTCATGCCTTGGCACTATCTATTAAAATGATAATCAGAATATTGACATTTAAAGAGATGGCAATATGGACAGTTACACTGGGAGAACTTCCCATCCCACAGGGAGTCTCTGCTAAAAAAAAAAAAAAAAAAGCACATTTTTGGCTCAAAACAAATGAAAAGTGCTCAAAACCTGTGTTTCAATGCAGTTACAGCATCTGTCTCATTGTAATAATTAGACAACAAATTCAGCAAAGTGCACTCATTGTACTCCCTTTTCAGAGGATGCTCACATACGTACTTAGCAGATTATTTGGCTTTGCACTAGCCGAGACTCCCACTGGAGCCTTGCAGTCTTGTACCGGCACTCAAAGCTAGATATAAATCTGGGCCTTTTATGTAATATGAGATTTGGCCACACAATCCACTCACGATGGAATGTTGCAGCAGTGCAGTCACAAACAAGGCAACTTTATGTTATTGAGTTGTGCCGCATGGAAATATATTTCAAGCTGGTCTGCTTGGCTGTACACCTGGGGCAATGTTGATACAAATAAAATGAGGAACAATGTCAGAAAGACAAATGAGCCTCACATCAGTTGTTTCCCCCCAACACCCAAAGATGATTACTGTTTATTAAGGATGAGCATTGTAATATACATGCCAGCTTTATAAATGTTTGATGATTACTTTGCTTTAAAACACAGTGCTGCAAGGGTAACGCATCCTTCAATGTTCAAATGATGATCAGATACTGTATGGACATGTCCTTTTAAAGTTCTTGTGTTTCAAATTACTGCTCACAGGCTCTGCATTACATGAGCTCTGATATCACATATTCATAAAGATTAGAAAAATCATTTTCTCCATCCCTTAGTGGTTAAAATAAATAACACATCATGTCATTGGGTTTGTTTCCTTTAATTTATATCAACCAGTTTAGGTTATGTTTTCATCATTAACTGTATAAAAATGGACGTAAACACTGTGATATCACATATTGGTTTTTGGCCGGCTTTTTGATACCTTGAGTTTAGATTCTTGGCCGCTGTATGATGAAAAATGTTTTCTTTTTGAGGCAAGAAGTGATCAAATGTATATTAAGGGGTGAAGCTTGGGGGACATAAGGTTGGCAAATGCTAAGTCAACAAAGTTTAACCATCTATGTTCATGGCTGATTCATGAGCTGGCTCATTAGCTATGTTAACATCGTTCGCGAAATAGATGAGGATAGATCCTTTTTTGGGGGGTTTTAATTTATTGTTAATTCTAAAGAAGCTTAGAAAACATATGCAAAATAGCACATTTCACGGTGTGTTAAATTTGATCTCGGAAGTTGGAAATTCTGAGTTACCAGTCTGATACGTCGTCATGAACGCCCCCCTGATATCGAAACTCTGATTTGGAAACTTGGAGCATCTTCAATAGTCTGAGTTAAAATCCAACATGGCTGCTATGTGCATCAACAGTTTTGTAAAGCTGTAAGTATTGTGTTTATTTACAGCTTAGTCCTCTTTTAGTCTAATTAAATAAATGACACTGAAAGTATCGTGCAAGTTCTATCTGTAGACATGTTGTCATGTAATTCTCACGCTCAAACTATCACGTAGTTTGTTGTTATCGTCAGGTATTAGCTAACAAAACAAAGTTTCTCCTTGAGGCGTGTCCGTGTTGCTTGACGGACTTGCGACCGGAATGTGGTTAACTCCGATGTGACGTCGGTCCCAGCTCCGAGATGCGAGTTCCAAGCTAAATAGAACGCACCATCAGCTTGCTCTATTGAAAGACTTAGAGGCGGATAGGGAACCAAACTGTTCTGGCCAGCTGTCTTTTTCTGCATGGAAAAGCTAAAACAACCCTGCAAGAATCCTACTGCAACTTAAAGTGAGCAACCCTTGATTATGCACAATGGTAAGCCTTAATATAATATGGTCCAACATTCGTCATTTGGCTGATTTTCATTAACAGCGTTTTAGTTTACTCAGTTGAACAAACTGCTGTACGGGTTAAAAATCATATCAGCAGGTTGGCTAATCAATGATTCTGACCATCATTCAATCATCTTAAGCTCTTACAGCCCTGAAAGCCAATGTCTTACTCAAATGAGGAATTTTGTTTGAAACATTGATGCTTTACATGTTGCTGTTTCAGCTCAAGATAAAAAGACACGTCACTTTCTCACACAACTGCACCATACAATCTCCCAAAAAAACTGTCAAAGCCAATATACAAGTCACTTTTTTGCAAAGTCTCTGAATCATGGGCTCCATTACCAGGCCAAACTCGCACAGTGTCAGGTGCACAGGTATTTTCATTCATAACCAAAGACTGACTATTTGGGTCATTTCTCCCCCTGAACAGGAGGACAGAAATCACATTGTCCTCTTCTTATTGTGCTTTGTGTTTCTGCATTGTGGCTTTTCCCAGACAGGCTAGTTGGCCCAATAAATGGCTCTGTGTGTCTGTGCTTAGCTTTGCATGTCTTTGGAACAGAAAAAATGTTTTTTTTTAACCTCTGGCTGACATGGGTGATAAGCTTCCAGCTAGAGTTGAACTGAGAAGGCCAGAGATTAAGTGAGGGACATTGCAGCTTTAGTTCCCAGAGATGTTAAACAAAGCCTCATGACCATATCACATATCAGACAAGGGTAACAGTGCACTTGCAAAAAATCGAATTTTCAGTCATATGTTTTAATAATTCACACTTTTTTTTTTAAAGCAAATGTGAACATCGTTGCACCTTCAACCTTTAGGTGTAACTCCCATTGTTATTTTTTCTCCATGAGTTGTGGGTTCAGTGTCCATTCTCTTTGAGCAATTCAGATCTACAAGTCATGATGCAAAAAGTTTCATGATGCCTCGGATATGTGGATCGAACGAGACAGATAGAAACAGAGAGGAATAAAATGTACTGGGGAAAAAAAAGTAAGAAGACAGCTCATTACATATTGATTTTGAATTGATCACAACTAATTTGCCATGCAGTGATGCAGGAGCTGTGTTAATCCCTGATGGTTGCCTTACATCGATCCGTCACGTCCTTGGATTCTGAGATCAAACCAAAGCCTTGGAGGAATCTGCTTATTTACTGAAAATATGTATTTTTTGTCTTTTACCATTAAATGTGTCAGTAACTTTCCACCAATAAGGTATTATGTTTTCTCAGTATACTTTTTTTCCATTACACATCAGTCATTCAGTCATGGAGTTAACCATGAGGAAAGGTTGTGT